ATAGTGCTTGGGTAAGACATAGGAGGGGATAAAGGCCATCTCTGTTTCCATGAAGGCTAATAAAAAGGGGAAATTTTCACTGATGTAAATTCTATGTCACATCCCACCCCTACAGTGCAGAAAACAGATCCTAGTATACCACTACAGCTCTATCACTGTCAATGAACTTTGAAGCAGGTTGCTCTTCCTGAATTACAATTTCTGAGTGGTCTTGTCAGAAAGGACAAGATATTACACTCGGCTACATCAGGCAGTAACTACCCACAGCTCCACACCACAGTTAATATGCAATAAAAAAGAAATCTCTGTCCTAGGATGTGCCTTTAGAGCTGATCAGTGCCAAAGCTACAGACCATAAGGACAGCTTCACACTTGCCTCAGCTAGTTCATGAATAAACATCTAATTCATTCAAATGAGCTCTATATTAACTAATTTAAATAATTTTCATTTTGCTTTGAATGGTAAACAGATCTACTCTGCCAGGATAGTCGAGTTTGCAATTCAAATTACGCACCGATTTGTAATGAGAAAAATATAATTAATGGCAAAGCTTGAAGTAACTACAATTTTACTCCTTTGATTTCCTGCAGGGAAGGAGGGGGTGGAAGGTGAAGCTCTCAGGCACACATGCACTCACAACATCCCTTTATAAGCCAATACATTTTACTGCAAACTCAAGTATTTGGCTTGAGCAGTTCTATTTTAGTGCACTGCACCATGATGTCATGGCAGGACACACCATGACTTGACATATCACAGCCCCCACGATGCAATACTAACATCACCCAATAAATAACCATGTAACGGTCTGTAAATTAAATGACTTCTTTCTATTGGGATCATAAACAATAATAATTTGGCAGGTGCCCCTTAAAAGCTCTGCGCGTGTTGAACATTAAATCAAACTCTATTGATCTGCTAAACTGAAAACTGCATGTTCTTAGCATCTCTCTCCCACCTAATGAAATTCTTCGTCCTACCACTCTGTCCCATTCTTGTTTGGCATCACATTTGTAAGATGAGTGCAAATCAGTCCAAAGTGATTCCTAAGCAGAACGAGAGGATTGTCCCAGTGTTAGTATTTTGCCTGTTACACACGTCATTCTTAGCTGCTCTGCTTTTTAACCAAAGCCTTCAGCTCCTGATTAAATTCAAACCCTAATGACAGATAACTGGCCTTGGCCATACTGTCTGCATGGTCTTGACAACAGAAATCCTCATTGTAATCAACATGTGCAGAATCAGGCTCTTAGAAAATGGGTCCATGCAATCTGAAGCTGGACTATGTTTTCCAAAGGTTTGGCAACAAAATTAGTGCGCAATGATAAAAAGGCAAAAAAAAACCCTCCACAGAGATCATAGAGAGCATGACTTTCTCTACAGCCAGGGCAAAGTCTCCCCTTGCCAGGTTCCACCAGCTGAAATTCTTAGCACTGCAATGGAGTTTAGTTTATCAAGATACATTCACTGAGAAGCAAAGCAATTAAGCACAGGACAAGCTCCAGATATTTGCATGCACAAAGTCTAGAACTCACAAGCTACCTTTAAATGCTGGTCAGAGCTTAGTTAGACAAGGAAAACTCTTGAAAATTCAGCTTCTTCCCTTTGGTGCCCCAGTGGGAGCTATGATCTTTTGCAAACCCACCTTTGAAACCTGCAGGTCAACACCCAGAGGAGCTCTGTGATTTATGAGCACATTCAGGACTTCTCTCTTTCCCAAGAGAGAAAAGTCCTGAAGGCTCAAATCCTCCTGGGCATTTTAGATGCCTCATTCCCAAATATGACTCAAGATCTTACATCTCTTTTGAAATTACAACTCACACATTTGTTCTTTCTGAAATCTACACTAAGACATATTCAATAGACTTTATTCACTACAAAAGGGAGTGGGTAAAAAAAACTACCACAAAACAGGGCAGTTGCCCAAATTTAAGACCCTGGTATACAGCTATATCACCCAGCCAGAAGAGAAAGGAGGTGTTACACAGAGCACATTTGCAGTCAGGCAAGCAAGACAATTCATACCAAGTTACCACAAACCAAAGAGGAGATTCCAGAATTCCATAAAAAGCAGTTCCCTCCAGTTATAACACAATCTTTATTTTCTATTACAACAGTTGATAAGATCTCTTATCCCTTGACAGTGGCATTTGGTGATTTAGTTTACAGCCCTGTACACATTTCTGGTAACACTGATTATATTCCAAAGCTCTCAGGCACACATGCACTCACAACATCCCTTTATAAGCCAATACATTTTACTGCAAACTCAAGTATTTGGCTTGAGCAGTTCTATTTTAGTGCACTGCACCATGATGTCATGGCAGGACACACCATGACTTGACATATCACAGCCCCCACGATGCAATACTAACATCACCCAATAAATAACCATGTAACGGTCTGTAAATTAAATGACTTCTTTCTATTGGGATCATAAACAATAATAATTTGGCAGCTGCCCCTTAAAAGCTCTGCGCATGTTGAACATTAAATCAAGCTCTATTGATCTGCTAAACTGAAAACTGCATGTTCTTAGCATCTCTCTCCCACCTAATGAAATTCTTCGTCCTACCACTCTGTCCCATTCTTGTTTGGCATCACATTTGTAAGATGAGTGCAAATCAGTCCAAAGTGATTCCTAAGCAGAACGAGAGGATTGTCCCAGTGTTAGTATTTTGCCTGTTACACACGTCATTCTTAGCTGCTCTGCTTTTTAACCAAAGCCTTCAGCTCCTGATTAAATTCAAACCCTAATGACAGATAACTGGCCTTGGCCATACTGTCTGCATGGTCTTGACAACAGAAATCCTCATTGTAATCAACATGTGCAGAATCAGGCTCTTAGAAAATGGGTCCATGCAATCTGAAGCTGGACTATGTTTTCCAAAGGTTTGGCAACAAAATTAGTGCGCAATGATAAAAAGGCAAAAAAAAACCCTCCACAGAGATCATAGAGAGCATGACTTTCTCTACAGCCAGGGCAAAGTCTCCCCTTGCCAGGTTCCACCAGCTGAAATTCTTAGCACTGCAATGGAGTTTAGTTTATCAAGATACATTCACTGAGAAGCAAAGCAATTAAGCACAGGACAAGCTCCAGATATTTGCATGCACAAAGTCTAGAACTCACAAGCTACCTTTAAATGCTGGTCAGAGCTTAGTTAGACAAGGAAAACTCTTGAAAATTCAGCTTCTTCCCTTTGGTGCCCCAGTGGGAGCTATGATCTTTTGCAAACCCACCTTTGAAACCTGCAGGTCAACACCCAGAGGAGCTCTGTGATTTATGAGCACATTCAGGACTTCTCTCTTTCCCAAGAGAGAAAAGTCCTGAAGGCTCAAATCCTCCTGGGCATTTTAGATGCCTCATTCCCAAATATGACTCAAGATCTTACATCTCTTTTGAAATTACAACTCACACATTTGTTCTTTCTGAAATCTACACTAAGACATATTCAATAGACTTTATTCACTACAAAAGGGAGTGGGTAAAAAAAACTACCACAAAACAGGGCAGTTGCCCAAATTTAAGACCCTGGTATACAGCTACATCACCCAGCCAGAAGAGAAAGGAGGTGTTACACAGAGCACATTTGCAGTCAGTCAAGCAAGACAATTCATACCAAGTTACCACAAACCAAAGAGGAGATTCCAGAATTCCATAAAAAGCAGTTCCCTCCAGTTATAACACAATCTTTATTTTCTATTACAACAGTTGATAAGATCTCTTATCCCTTGACAGTGGCATTTGGTGATTTAGTTTACAGCCCTGTACACATTTCTGGTAACACTGATTATATTCCATGTAATATGATGTATTTGAAGAGACAAATAAAACTGCTAACTCTTCTCACATCAGCCTGACTTAGTAGTGCTAAAGCAACAGATTTCACATTTGTCTTCACAGAACCACAGAATGGTTACCATTGGAAAAGAGTTTAAAGCTCATCTAGTTACAACCCTGTTGCATGGGTAGGGACATCTCCCACTAGATCAGGTTCCTCCAAGCCCCATCCAACCTGGCCTTGAACACTTCCATGGATGGAGCATCCACAGCTTCTCCAGGCAACCCGTGCCAGTGTCTCACCACCATCACAGCCAAGAATTTATTACTAAAATATAATTGAAAGTTACCACCTTTCACCTTAAAACCTCTTACCCTCATCCTATCCCTCCATGCCCTTACACAATGTCCCTCTCCAGCTTTCCTGTTGCCCCTTCAGGTCTTCAAGACTTCAACCCTATGTTTATTCAAAAGAGACAGACCAGAACAAAGAGGTATGTTCAGCTCAGTGTTCAGCACACACCAAGCAGGAACAAGCCCCTTCCATCTCAAACTCAAAGACTGTTGTTTACAGCTCATTTCAGTGGGAAGTCAAGGCTACACCCACACCAGGAGAAATCCCACATGGCACACACACTTTTTTCAATGGTCACATGCAACAGAAAGTAATATAACAGCAGCAGAACCCCTAAATGGGACTTTTCTTAAATGTGTGCAGAAGCTAAATATCCCTCTCTTCTTTACCTAATGCAGAACAAACGGGACATAGGGTGGGAATGCAAATAAGTAGCAGTGATAAATATGTCTCTGCTTGGAGCTATGTACTGGCAGAGATTCCCAGCTGTTCCTCTGCTGTACACAGACAAAAAAAACCCACATTTTTCTTAATGCTGAGGATCAAAATGCATAATTAACAAATAGTTCCACATAGGCCACTGTAACTTTCAGTTCTTGCATTCACCTTTTGTGCACCTATAAGATGATAATCTCAAACCTATGATGACCAAATTTTGTTGTTACCAATTAGAGCAAAAGTGCCTTTTCTAGAAGCTAAATGGCAAACTGAGTCACCCATTGATCCGTGGGGACCTGACCCTGACTGCATCACCCAACACCAGTTGAGAATCTGGAGCACCCATTCCAGATCGACTGCAAGTCTGGAGACTAATCACCAGCCCAATAATAGAGCATGAGCCTAACAAAACACACAGAACTCACCATCTGGAGGCATCAGGACCTTGTTATTCTGTGTACACCAGCCAACGGGGTGAAGATCTGCTGTCATCACATCACACCAGAAGTCTGCCCTGCGATCATCTCCATAGCCACAGTAACGAAGCAACAAGAGCTGTCCACACGTTGTGATGATTGTAGCCACCCAGTATGTGTCTGGATTGCTCTTGTTGGCCACTTCTAACTTCATTCCTGGTTGGAAACTGCTTTGAAGGCTGATTTCAACCTTACAAAATGAGAAAGATAGTGTTACTTTTTTTTTTCTTTGCAGGGAGATCCTCCACCTCAGCTAAACAAGATCAAGTTGCCCTTAAAGAACAGCTCTGGGGCAGGACATGAGTTGATTGTGCTCCTTAGTCCAATCAGTTTCACAGTCTATCTGGGCAGGACCATTCCTTCTTCCTTGACCCCATCATGCAAAGTCCCACATGCTCCAAAGAAACTGTCCAGCAGTGGTAACCTCAGGTGCACAACATCTAAGAGAGCACTGGTACCCACCTTCATATCATAAATCACATCAATGCTTGGGAGAAGGGTGGGATAACTCCAATGAGGTTGCATTTCCCATTGCTTCATCAGGCAAACCACACCACACATTCAAGATGTTGCATGTGTCCAGAACTGAATAGCTCGACCATGTCCAGAGAAGAGCAACAAAGCTGCTGAAAGGTCTTAGAACACAACTCTTATGAGGAGTAGCTGAGGGAATTAGGTTTTAGTCTACAGAAGACGAGGCTGAGGGAAGACCTTATTGCTCTCTACAACTGCCTGGAAGGAGGTTCTAATGAAGTGGGAGTGGGACTCTTCTTTCATGCAACCAGTGATAGAACAAGAGGGAACAACCTCAAGTTGTGCCAGAAGAGGTTTAGATTAGATATTAGGAAAGAGGTATTTGCTGAAAGAGTGATCTGGCATGGGAACAGGCTGCCCAGAGAAGTGGTGGAGTCATCACCCCTAGAGGTGCTCAAAAAACATGTGGACTTAGCACTTCAGGACATGGTGTTGTTGTTTTGATGGTTGGACTTGATGATCTTATGAGATCTTTTCCAACCTTAATGATTCTCTGATTCTAAGGTAGAAAGGCAGGTACTAAGCACCTCTAGGACTTAAGCCCAACTATAATAATTAGTCATATAGCAACACTGAAGCACCTCTTGAGGCTTGAAAAGAATCAAGGGTTGAATACTGAACCAGAAGACCAAGGAGATAGTTTCCACCAAATCCATCCCCAGCAGCTCAAGCCTCAAATGATTCATTCTCCCAGCACCCCAGTAAATAAACTAAGACCCATTGCTGAAAGAAGCTAATGGTCTGAGCCACAGTCCTGCCATCTGATGTCACTTCCATTTATCTCACCAGTGACAGGTCACATGTAACTGCCCTTAGGACAGTGGAGATGCCAGTGCACCTCTCACAGGACACTGCAGGGACTGATGTTAAACATCAGAGCCTGCTCTAGGCACATCTAAATGTATCCTCCAGTAGGCCAGTGGGATGTCAGCTGTTGTTGATAAAGAAGAGGTGGATGCCAGTTCACCATTCAGGTGCCAACTTTGTCTCAAGAAGATCACCCAAAATGCAGCTCCCTATGAGATGCTCAAGGACAGGTTCTTATAGGTTTCTTAGTACCATGTGTCCTATTTAAGCCTGTCTCTGATTAACTTCTCATTTAAACAACAAGCTGAATTGCCTCTTTTACTCAAAGAGTGAAATACAATATGGCCACCTGAGGACTTCTCAGACTTGGGGATGCCAAGTTGCAGAGAAAGCCCCTCCATCATCCTGTTCCAGCTTACAACACAAGCTCTGCCCAGTCAAAGCCATTTATTACTTCCAGTTAACAATATTCCACGTGCCTTTACTTGTGTGGGCACTTTCATCAGCATAAATTCCTGGAGTCAAAAGGACAGCTGAGGTTAGAAGGGACCCTTGGAGATCATCTAAGATTGAAGAAGGTCTGTGACATTTACTACTTCACTTAAGTCATGAAACAGGATCTTGGCTCTTGTGATGCTAAGTGTGCTCATAAATAATCCAGGATATCTGTTTGTAGTTTTTCTCCTTCTGTCCAGCATAAGTCAAGATCAAAGTGCTATTCCAAAGGAAAGGGACTTGCAACTGGAAATCACACAGAGGGGAAACAAACAGGCAAGTAATATAATTTTCTCTGACAGCTTTCAGGTTCCTGGCCAGCCCACGGGTTTTTGAGCACCAAGTTTAAGACTGAGAAGCTCGGTCACTAAGGACTGTTCCCAGCATTAACTTGTCTTACATCAGTAGTCCCAGGATTGAGGACTGCAAGACACCACAACAAGCAGGATCAGCAGGATGAGTTGGGCATCTCCATGTACCTAAAGACATCCTTCAGGGCTCAACTAAGCACAATACTTTCACCTAGACCTGTTATTTAGGATTGGGCCCCAAGGAGAAACCTGGAACAAGATGCTCTCTCCAGACAGTTGCTGGACCAAGGACAAATTATACAATAAAACTTTGGCATTGCCCTGTAATTCTCCTTATGGTCCTTTGTCCCACCATACCCTACTGTTGTTAAAATTGAAGGAAAAATAGGGGATGGAGGATTGAATTATTTTTTCAGATGTAAATGAAAAGAGAGGCTTTTCATCACTGAATCTCCTTACCCACTCAAAACGAGTCAAGGAACCACCTGGAGATAAAAGTGGTTTCATGGTGTGAATGCACTCAACCAAATAGAGACTTCTCTCAAAGCAGCATGCCAAAGGGCATCTCTACCAGCTAAAACCCCTCTCTTCAGACCAGTCAAGTGAAGCTGGGAGAGGAGCCAACACAATTGATGAGAAGCTATAACAGAATAGGCTGCTACCTGTATCTGATGGGTCAGGTAGGAGGATAAGCAGCACCATCCTCATGAGACTTTCAGTGGAGGACAGAGACCCACCATGACTTACTGTGGCTTTGCTCTGATGAAGGTATGTTCCCAATAGGCCTCAACATCCCTGACAGAACAGACTTGTGGTTCAAAGACAAAGAAGTCCTGGAAAAACCTACCAACATGGCCACACATGCACACCCTTGACTATGATGAAGAACTCGTATCAAGCTTAATTTCTCTCCTATGTCCTCATATGACATCACACATGTGAAGATGAAGAGGTTCAATAACTGATGGTGGATGGAGAAACTAGTCCCAAACAACTATATTCTTGACTGTGATGGACTCTCCCTTCTTCAAACCATGCTCTGATTTTTTTCATCAAAGAGACTCCAAACACAACTTGTGCTAACATGGACCAGAGCCACAGATGATGCTGTAACTACTATGGCTGTCAGTATGAGTCACATCAACCCAAGAAAACATCACCCAAGCATTTGTATCCCATGCTTCTGAGACAGCACCTCCACACAGGAGGCTGAGGGATGGTTTCCTACAGGCCATGCTGGACTCTCATGCTGAGTGTCCCTGCTAGTCAGCAAACTTTACATTAAGAGGACAGCTTTGGAGAAATAAGGCACTCCTGTGAGATGTATCTGCATAGGCTGGGATGGACAGCAAGGAATAGAGAATAAAAAATAGATGGAAGAGAACAAAATTAGTGCATTATACGCTAAAGGAGAGAAACAAACATCCTCAAGAATGGAATATTTGAACTGAAGGCAGAGGATCAGTCAGTGGCACAAACAGACACAGCTGTGACTGCAGATGATGCAAACATACCAAGTTCCCCTAACACCAGCTGGAGACCATTCCTACACAGGTTGCCACATGCACAGAGGGGACAATTTCCTCCCAAAATGGTCAGACCCCACTTCAGTTCTCCAGAGAACCAATTGAAACCAGAAGAGGGACCACGTGCAATGCCTACACGGCTCAGACGAAGCACGTACGTGTTTGAAGGAGGTGTGGGGAGCAGCACTGGCTCCTGTTTCCTCCAGGAACTCATCCCAGTTGAAGTCTTCATCTTCAATGCTGGAGCCCTCATCTGTTCAAAAGAAAAAAGACAAAAAAAAGAAAAGCAGCCTAAAACACAGCCAAAGAAGGCTAAAGTTATGTCGAAGAGTTCACAATAAGAACAGTAACCAGTATATACATCAACCCAAGAGAAAACAGAAAGCTTTAAAGATCTATGTTTATCTAGTTTGACCAACTCTATGCATTCAGCAGACTTTGGGACACTGGAAGACAACACTTGGAAACCAGAAATTACTCTGCTATCACAGATAGGGGAAACAAACCTGTCATATTGCAGCAGGTACTTATGGTGGCTGTCTGTCCATGACCACAAGGGTGCAACAACCTTGCTCATGCTCTAAAATGAGGTCACCCAGCACTGTTAATTGCAAGCAGTGCACTGGTGATAATATTAGACACCCCAACTCTTGGGGCTGGTGAGGCCCAGGTTCAGTCCTGCCACTCCTTCTCTCCTTCCTCAGCATCCTTCCACCCAGAGATCCCAGCTGAGGTCCCCATGCCTCCCACTTCTCCCAGAACTACAACTGCTTTCCCCAAAACCCCCCAGCACTCCTCACCAGACCACCACTACCTTCTTGCTCCCTGCCCTCGTCCTTGTCACATTGCAGTTTTGGGACTCTGCATCATGCCTCCTCCATCCACACCACTGCTCCAACAATCCTTCACCATGGTGAAGATCTTGACATTACTAGTCTTTATTTATTTATTTATCTATCTATTTACTTATAACCATGCTGAGCAAAGGCCTCAAACCATTGTTGAAACACACACAGAAAGAATTAAAAATAAATCTGCTTTCATTTACAGAAAATCAGCCAAATCTGATTGTTTTCATTTTGTTCCCAGGCAATCTTGCAAACCCAGTTTCAACCCCAGAGCAAAAATATTTGCAGTCTAGCAATGAGCCCTTTGCAATAAACATTTATCAGGCAAACTCTGCAAGACCCTTACCTGTCCAAGCATTCATCAGTGTGGTCATGATGTAATTAAAGTGACTCATGACAAAGTGAATTAAGAAATCTCCCCAGACAGTTTTATGAAGAAAATGGCAGGGTTAATTTATTGCAATTATTGCTACAGGTCTCTGGTTTTCAAGACCAGAAAATGATGTTGTGCAATGGGAATCTCTCATTATTAAAAGGGAAAGACACAGGTTTTATTTGCTGCCTGTGGAGCCAGACAGACATAAGGGGAAAAAAGTGGACCAGAAGAGGGTTTTTGAGACAGAGATGGTGGAGGTTAAAGACCTGTCTGGGAGGTCAAGGAGAAGCACTGAGCTGTCACTGCTGTTAAACACTTGGTACACTGGTGCATCACTGCTAAGGGCTGACTCCTTGCTTTAAACTCAATTAACCTGCTTAAATATAAAGATGTAAATCAACATTTACTCCGGTGATAAACTGACTCCTCAACTCAGTGAGCCAAGAAATAGCCCAAACCACGGATACCTCCCAAAACGCCCAGAGGTAGCAACTGACTCTGTTTGAGATATTTGACCCCAAATGAGGGGTTGGTTCATTCCTGACTGAAAGATAAGCCACAGCTTAAACACAAGGTAGGAGCTTGGTGCAAAAATTGCAGTTTCCTTCACCTACATCATGCAGGCAGACTACCTAGACAATCAGGGGAATTCTTCAGCCTTAACTGCAGCCCTGTGGAGTTAATATTTTAGAGAAGAGCCAGGTCCAGAGATTTCAAAGACTGAACATCTAAAGTAAAGTATGTTAGTCCACAAGTAGATGGGAATATATAGTTAACTACCCCAGGCTTATCATTACTTGGATGCTTAAGCAACTTTCTACCTTCAACACAACCAAGCCTCCTGCCACTAAATTTGGCAACATTCAACATGAAAAGGAAGCTGAAAAGCTAAAAGTACATCCCCTCTGCCTGGCTGCTCCCTGCTTCTGCATCCTACTGCACTTGTGGTGTTGAAATGGGCTGCTCATCAACCCCAAGCACATCTGCACATCAGGACATCTGATAGGGACAGGACATTTCCACATCATCCTTGGGCTCTCTTCTGCTCAGATATAACTACCTAAATGGAGGCTGAAGCAAGGTGGGGGTTTGTCTCTTCTCCCAAGTAACAAGTAACAGAAAGAGAGGAAATGGCCCCCAGTTTTGTCAGGGGATGTTTAGATTGGACATATTTTTTAATGAAAGAGTTGTCAGGCTCTGGCACAGGCTGCCCAGGGTAGTGGTGGAGTCACCATCCCTACAGCTATTTAAGAACTGTGTAGATGAGGTGCTTAGGGACATGGTTTAGTGGTGGGCTTGGCCGTGCTGGGTTAATGGTTGGACTTGATTATCTTAAGGGTTTTTTCTAACCCAAACAATTCTGTGATTATATGGTATTTCTGCTTCAGAACACAAGGCATTACCCTCAGCTCGCAATGCCCTCTACATGTTCTCAGCTTTTATTACTGCCTTTTGCTCTAACCTGCTGGATGACTTCAGTTAAGTCCAGCCTTCCTCAGTAGTCTTGCTGGAAGGAGCCATCCTGCTGAGCAATGGAAGCAGGGATTTTTAGGCAGTTCAGGATAATTCAAGCCCCTACAGGGACCAATGTGTCCAGGGTGACAAAACCTTCTTCAGAATTTGCCAACAGCACATTAACTATGTTAGCAATACAGATGACAGTTTGGGATGCAACAAGTCCCTGTGTACTTCATAATCTTATTACCCATGACCTACTGTGCCATGTACCAACACAGAGAGGTTCACTGGCCCCACTGTTCCCACAGACAGACCACCAGGTTCATTCACATGCAGTCCAGTAAAACTCATCTGTTTAAAAACTTATCATCCAGATCATAGAACCACAGAACCACTGACTGGTTTGGGTTTGAAGGGACCTTAAAGATCATCCAGTTCCAAACCCCTGCATGGGCAGGGACACCTCCCACCGAATCAGGCTGCTCAGAGCCCCATCCACCCTGCCCTTGAACACTTCCAGGGATGGGGCAGCCACAGCTCCACTGGGCAACCTGTGCCAATGTCTCCCCAGGATCACTCCTTTCTAAACCCAGAGAGGCTTTAAGACCCTGAAGGAGGCAGAGTGAAAGCTGCAGCCTTCCCTCCCTGTCAATTCATTTCTCTCTGACACATCACAAGTCTGACTCCTCTACTGTGTTTTATCTGCAGATTTTATCCGGAAATTACTTTTACAAGGTCTGTAAAAATAATGTCAGAGTACTCATTTATCACAGTATCAGTGTTTTATTTTGCTTCGTTTTATCACAAAGGATTTTGAAGGGACTGTAAGTTTCCAAAATGTTGTAATACAGACTTGGTTCCTTTACAGAAACCTGGTAGAGGGGCATCCAAAACAGAAACTTTGTGGTCCAGGGATGATACCAGCCCAAGGGATCCAATCCCATCTCTGCACATAATGGGGCTGTAAGCAGAACTCCCCCTGCATCACAAAAGCCCTACTGCTGAAGAGAAAAGGGCAGCTCTTGCTGAGGTATCCCAATGGAGATCCCCTGATTAAAATGTAGATAGAGACATGCAAAATCTCTCTTAATATATAACACCAAGACCGTGCCCACTTGAGAAATGGTTATCGAAGATGATCTGTTTGTCACTCCTCAAGTCATGCACTCCAAGAACAAAGTCCTGGCTCTGCTGGGGAGCTGGAAAACCCCAGGTGCCAGCATTTCACAGAGCATCCCCACGAGATGACAGGTTTGGCACAAGGCCTATTTTACATCTCAGCTCCCTTTCTGATTACTGGTACTTAGGCCCAGTGATTTTCTCAATGAAAGAGTCAAGGCTGGCTGGCCTACAACTGTGATGTGTAAACAAGCCCAGAATGGCAAATAAAATCAACAAGTCATTATCTGTGAGCCTCTCAATGGCTTTAAAGTGCTTATGCATTGACACTATAAAAAAGCAACTGTTCCAGCTGTTACCAGCCTTCCAGGATGTTTAGCAATGGGAAATAAGGAGATAAAAGATCCAAAACTTGTGGCTCCAGAAACAGATTTTTCCCAGGCTTCACTGAAGAAGAAGGTATTTGTGGTGAATTGCTTAGCCATCTTATTTCTAGCACACAGATAAAAACATGATTTCTTGAGTGAACCGAGAAATGAAATCTTTAGATGTTAACACACCAAGTGAGGGGGGACTCGACCAACCACAAACCTCTGACGTGGCCTTAGGAGAGTCACCAAGATCCATATATCCAAAGAAATGTTGGCACCACAGGCCAGCTCTTCTCATTCCAACACCAATATCTATGGTTGGCCAACTGAATCTCACCCTAGAGGTTCCTATCTCTCTCCCATGGATCTAAATGGATCCAGTGGTGATTAGATCAGGCTGCAGATGCCCACTCTGGAAACATCTGAATTAGAAGACATGAATCCCACCTCCAGAGAGGGGGTCTGCATCACATAAGCAGCAAGGATTGAGATGTTCCCCTCTGCTCCAGTCAGGGTTTGCTTTCTTCATCATCAGTGGGAAGAAATTGGCAGCTCCAGACAGCAACTCAACTCAAAGGCAACACAGCACCTGTGTGAAAATGGGATGACTTGCTTTCTGGAGCTGTATCTTTCTCCTCACTGCTGGCACAGGCAGCATCAAGTGACTAGTGTTTTAAGTCCCAGATTCAGACGTTTAACTCTAAAGGACCCTTAGTAGACATCTCTTGTGAGTCACACTGTAGAAAAGAGGCTCCTTCTCTACCATGGCTGTGGGGTAATATTTATGTTCTCACCCAAGATAACATAAGAGTGTCCTGCTTCCTCTAGGTGGGATGTGTCCAGATTTCTCCTCATAACCTCTCCACCCCTACACACCCTCCCCTTCCCAAAGACACATTCCCTATATGCTTTGTCTCCCCCTGCATGCCCAGAGACATCCATTAGATGAGGACAACCATGTGTGACAGTTCCCCCCAGGTCAGTTCCTATAATGCAACTACTTCTGGTTCAGTCAGGGGTTTCATTTAGACAAACATGATTGTGAAGCCAATTAGTACATTGCATCTTTCTTCCATAAGCATGTCCCTTAGATGCCATCTGAAACAACCAGAACCATGACATATACCATGATAAAAAAAATCAAAACTTTGGCTGAGCTAATCAACTCACAGCACAGGGAAGTTTCCACCTCTTTGTGTCCCACCTAACATGCAGAGCTTAAGGGCCCAGGTGAACCTCTAAGCACCATGGCAAGCCCAAGTGGACTACCCCGCATCTCAAACATGTCTTCAGTACAACACAGCCAACTTGCATTTTCATAGGACATCATTCTCATTTTTCCCTACCTTTAATGACTTCTTGAAAGCCCACCTGCACATCCATCTCAATGGCACAAGAGTTGCTTGCTAAGAGCTGCCCACGTGGGCACTGGCAATCTACAGGTTGATTGTGCCACTTTGTTCATTATTTTCATGGCAAATGTTCTAGAAAATGGTTGCATTGCACAAGGGGCTGTGTAAAACAGCCCGTTCTCAACCCCAAGATCTTAGAAAGTCACCTCAGGGACTGCAGGTCATAGTTTACCTGGCATGGTCTTACATTGCTGTGAATCTTTCCCCCTCACAGCCCATCAGTGAACATGGCAAAGATTCACAGGCCTGGCACAGCTTTCCAGTGGGTGACGTGCAGGGAAACAGGAAAATCACTGAGTCACTATGAGAAGCTGAGAAACCAAAGGCTGGATAGTCACATTTCTGAGGTACTATGGGAGAAAGAGTGAAAAGAGGAGCCAAAACACAGCTTTGCAAAGAACTTCAGCAGAGCACTGGCCAATCAAGCACAAACTGCAGCACCATAGGAAAAAGATGCAAAAGACCCTGAAGACAAGGTAGGCAGCTTTTAAACAGTCATCCCAACACTTGTTGCATACAAGGTGGTGAGGGCACCTATTTACATAGAAGCAGACTTTAGGCAACCCTTTAGGAGGACTCCCTACAAGCTCAGACTTTAATCTGCCATTGACATCTCAGGATACTTTTGTCAAAAACATCTCTTACAGAAATGAGTGAATTTTGGAAAAGCACTTAAGCATATGAGCACCAACACAAGTACCCCAATGCAAAACTCATTTTGTTGTCCTCAGTGTTGTTTACCACAAGTCCATCAGTTGGGCTCTCCCATGCAAACAGAGCAAGGATGAAGTTACAAGCTATAGTAGAGCTAAATTAACAATTCAGTGCTGCTGGGAGAGGCCCCATTCCCACCCACCCTCTTAATCCAGCTAGTTCAACTCACAAAGCTGGCAGAAAACTACTTACTTTCTTTTCTCTGGTTTACCTTTCTGCTGGGTTAGTTGACTGACTCAGCACAGGGTGTGATGGAAAGTAGAGATGGCAGAAGAGAACATATGGTCTAAAGAGGGGTCTCCCATTTTGGCATCAATTAGACCAAGCCATCATCTGCAACTTCACCATAAGATACAGTCTCCTTCCATCAAGGCTAGATGCAGGAAGTTAAAGCACTTAATTCCAGCAGAAATCACTGGAAGCTACCCCTTATTTTTCTGTATCTACCATGACAATGCCCAAATTTCACACACTGAATGTCAGCTTTAGGTGCCCATCCCACAGCCTTACAGAGCACCTGATCATACACAGGAGCACAAGGACAACACTTGACCAGCTCTCCACTGGCTGGTCTAATGTCTGTGAAGCCCTCTCACCTGAAGCACTTTAAAATATTGGGAAGGAAATGAGGCTGAAGGTCAAAACAAAGGTGAAATGCTGTAATTTCTGAATGTACTTTTCCACTCTTTAACTACAAAACTGCAACAAAACAGAAAAGGGTGGGGAAACTGGAGAAGCACGTGCTCATTTCTCCATTGCTTTTTGTTTAAATGTCAAATAGCTGCTACCTACTGGAGAACAGTTCCAGAAGAAGAAAAGCTCAAATTTCCCAGCCCATCGACCATGGGACACAGTCCAATCCATAAGACTCAAAAAAGCCCTTTGAGCTGTACAACCATTGCCAATGCTCCCTTGGTAACATGGCTGTCTCCACCTCTACAGGTGATCAGCTGGAGGGGCTGTAACCATGGGGACAACTCATGGGGGTGAAGGAGAGCTCACCTGAATCAAACTGCTCCCTGTTGCCATTGGTTGGGCTCTGGCCCTTCTCTGGGGAGAGATGCTGGGTCTCCTGCATGGTGGCAATGAAGGACGCCCTTGTCTCCATGGTTCAGAGGAAGAGGCCTCCCCTTCCTAATTCATCCTGCAGCAGGGAGTGCCTAGAGGACAAGCTAAAAGAAGAAGAAGAAAAAAACAGCAATAAGTGATTTTTTTTGTTTCTACCTACACCAACCCATATTCCTCAGCCTTTCCTAATGGCTTTCAGGTTATCCCATTTTGACTGGAACCCTAAAATCCTGCTCTCTCCTCCAATGTGATCCAGAGTTGGATGAGGAACCACAATGAAGCACCTTAGTGGCAATAATACCATAACAGCAATAACAAAAATAATAAAGAATAGAGAAGATAATGAGGAAATTTTGTCAGGCACTGGAGGAGGCTGCCCAGGGAGGTGGTCAAGTCACCATCCCTGGAGATCTTTAAAAGCTGTAGATGTGGTGCAGAGGGATGTGGTTTAGTGGTGACAGTGTTGGGTTAATGGCTGGACTTGATGTTCTTAAAGGTCTTTTCCAACCTATCAATTCTATGATTCTATAATAAACAACATCCATTGGATTCACATCTCAAAGTTCTGTCCAGATCCCCCGTTATCACCAACAGAGAGGGAAGGGCCAGCCCATAAGGTGCCACAACCTGCACCAAAACCCAGAAAACCAGGAAAGGTCAACTCAACCATCCTCCAGCAGGCCTAGCCCTTGACTTCCAACTTTTTGAGGTTAACACTGTGTAAGACATACCTCACTCCACAAATATTCAAACTTCCAAAGGGGGGGATTTGTGATAATGAAACAGAGGAAACACTGAAGGGAAAACACTTGGGAGTGACAGGAGTAACTCTAGAAAATGAAGTTCAGCATGCAAAATGCAGACACTCTAAGAAAATAGTGCAGGTTGCAACTGCCTTTTGAATGAAAGACTGACCTAAGGTAACCGCACCAGTTAGTACCACATAGAGAAGAAAAGATTAACTCAGGTGTAGATTGAGTTATGTTGGCAGAGGTGATTCTTCTAAAAGGAATGACCACAGTAAATACAAAGTGGAATAAAAACACGAAGAGATGAAAAATGATGCAAGAAAGGGAATACAGTCTGATTAGATCTTGAACCAGACACTAGACTAAATGAGAACTGTATTTCTAGCTACAGGAAGCCACCAGGTAAGCACTACCCAGAGACACACCTTTAGGAGTAGATTTAAAATAACTCCAAAGTGAGCTTTTCAGTAAAACTCTCTGAGATGGTGATGAATTACGAGATGTCAAAGGAGGGCTGAAAAAGAGAAAAAAAGAGCTCAGGTTATGGGCACAGAGGGAACCAGCTACTCACATAAGATATGCTGAAGTAAAGACAGGTAGTAGGGAAAATTGTGTCCAGAATTTACACTGTGGAGAACTTGTCCTGCTTATTAGTGGATGCCTCCAAGACCTGCATGAAAGAGAGGACTACGCTGGCAGAACTGGAGCCAAATGTTCTGCAAGGAGCGTGACTAAAAGAAGGAAAAAAGTTTACTGCCAGAAGCCAGGCAAAGCAGGAGGTAGTAAGATTGTAAAAATATTATGGGATTTTTTCAGCTTTCGGTACTCAAGAGGCATATTCAGGAAGACCAGATATGTTGGTTATAAAATAGAAAGAGGGAAGGTGTTCTGTCATAGAATTTTCATTCCCAGTTTTTAAGGCTGTTGCAATGAAAATTGCAAGGAAGAAAGAGACATGTGTGAGCAGGAGGAACTGAAAGAGATGAGAAGCATGTCAGGTTTAAGTGTTATAGCATTAACCAACCCTATGTGGGACTATTTGCTGAAGCAACCACAACAGCATCTTGGCGCCAGCAATTAAACCATGCTAAAACCATGGGGGTTTCACAAAGCATCACTGGTAAAAGCAAATTACCAAGGAAGGGGATACAACCCCATCATCTGAAGGTCGTCTGCACAAAGCTAGACCCCCATCAGCAATTTGTGTTCCCCACCTGAAAGGAATGTGATAATGAAAGGAAAATATATGTTTTTTAAAAGGAGTCTGTGAACCAATTCCGAGCAATATGTTTGTTGGTCTCTTTGGAAAGAGCTTCATCTACTTTGAGAATTCCATAAATAAAAATGATCACTTCCCCACTGTGATGGCCACTACAGCACTTCATCTTTATTCTTTATAGACATGAGAATTGCTAATGAATTAACTGTATTATATGCTATGAGCATGTTGAGTGTAGCTAACCTCAGAACATATATATCACTCATCCTCAGTGTATATTAAGTTTCAATTAACTATAAAACTAGAAGTAATCAGACTACTGGAAGTCAAAAAAACACTTCTCCTTTGGTAGAGAATACTTCCATAAATAACATTAATAAGAAATTGCTTAAGTATCAGTATTACATCAAGCTTATTAAATGTGAGAGAAGGGGAGCTGTCAGCAGAAGCTAAACCTTGAGTCGCTTCAGCTGTTTTCACTTTTGCCTAAGGCCATGATGGAAGGTAATCCTGGTCTATTAAAAAATAAAATAAAATAAAATAAAATAAAATAAAATAAAATAAAGAATGGAGAGAAACTGAGAGATCAGTTTAAACACAATAAATCAATTAGCTTAAACAGAACTCACAGGTAACAGCATAAATCCTAAGAAGAAAGACAAGCTACTTCATAGCATAGATAAAACTTGTGATGCTGATAAGACAAAGCTATGAGCTGATAAAAAGCTGAAGGTGTCCAAGCAGATGACTACAGTATTTGCTGTTTCTTATGCAGTCAGGCCCCAAACCTGCCACCAGACCCATGAAAAATGCCCATTTTCCTGGGTCAGGGAATTGCCCATCAGAAATGAAAAACGGACGGGAAAACCAGCAGGAACCCATCTGAGGTGTTCACAACACAGCTGGGATCCATCCTCAGTGGCCACATCTGGGGCTGGACTTCAGCCCACTTCAATTAAAAGGGGGCGCTGCAGAATCTCTTTGCTAGATTCAGCAATGTCATCAACATTTGTGTTTAACTCTATTCAAACACATGTTTTGCTTAAGCTATGAATAACTCATCATTCTTGAAATTTTCACGTTGAGAGCACTCACATCCCAGGAAAATTGGATCTGTCTGAGGCTATAGCTTATTTTCTTATTTGGGGAATAACTTGCTTAAATGTTATGGTAGGAAGGCATTTAAGTATTTTTCCAATACTACATGACAAGACCAAACATTCATGCAAACCGAAGCTTCACGAGAGCTCTGAGCCTTAGTGTTGATATAACTAACTAGCAAAGAAAGCTGACATAGGGTATTAATTTTTCACTTTGTATTAATTGCTGCTAATTAACACTTCAAACAGAGTCCCCAGCCATACTGTTACCAGTAGCATGCTGACTGGCCCACAATCATCAACATTAAACAAGCAGCACACACTCTGTACACTGATTTCTACATCAGGCTGAAGAAATATGTGTCCACTGGAAACCAAATTAAGGACCACAAGCCACACTGTCAGCTTGTAAAGCAGGGGATGGGAAACAACAGCCAAAGAGGCTCGAGCTGACACTATACCAGGCAGGAACACAAAGGAAAATATTACCAAATGCTTCTGAAAGAGCAGGGAGGGGAAAATTCCCTGGTTTGAGAACTCTTGTTCATAATTTCTGCACAGTGGTGGTTCAAACCAATGCGATTCTTCCCCCATGCAGCCCCCATCCCCCTGGTATTTAATTCAGATCCAGACCTTAATTTGCAGGCAGAAAAAGACAGACAACATAAAAATAAACCCAACCCTCTTTTATTTCCTCCTTCCCATGGCCATCAGTCTCAGCCACACCATTATCTCCAACACGCTTCCTTGTCATCTCTATCAGCATTGGCTCTTTGTCTAAGTGTTGGTGTTGGCTTCTTCACACCATTTTACATTTCTCATCTCTTGATGATTCCACCCTGGTTTTCCTTCCATTGGAGGAAGCCCCTGTAAGGAAAGGTGACCTGCCCATGCACAGAAACCAAATACCCTATGGCTCCCCCTTGAGAGTTAGTCCTTGTAAAGACCCATTCTCCCTCCAATACAGCCTTGGTTAATTGGGATTGACAGAAATAACGCAGGCTACTGGAACAGGGTGAAGGGGGAATCAGCCCTGTGGGACTAGATCTAGGATGCATGTGAGCTGGCTGACACAAAAGTGATACCTGAATCATACTCTCCCTTCTGAGTTGACCCACCAAGTTATCTTCTCACCCACAGGACACAATATGAGATCAGGCATCACCCAAGAGTCAGAGCAAAAAATACCTCATTGATCTCCTGCCCACCCTCAAGCACTCTTCTCCATGGCATCTCTTTTCCCCTTTGGGATTCTGACCCAACACTGAGTTCCTGCAGCCCTCCTGGTTGCCTCCATTGCCTGCTAGCCTGGAGATCCCCACGTCCCAGTAAACACCAAGATCAGTTTTTCCAGTAGGCACACTGCAAATCACAACACACACAACTACTGATTTTTACAGTTCAAGTCAGCAGTGTTCCCTTCTGGGTCTAAAGTCTGGATCTTCATTCCTTGCTTTCAGCAGTGCAGGTGACATTTTTAATGCTCAGAGACCACCTCTAAGAGCATGCAGACAATATAAGGCAATAAAGGAAAATGAAAGCTACTTCATGGGCAATGCTGCAAATCATCCCACTGCATTTACTACAAGGATGCACGGGACTAGCATTGTGCCTCTTCTAGGCAGAGGTCCCTAAATAAACCCACAGTGCAGGCAGGATTGCCAGTGGCAGGCCGCCCCCAAATTTACAACCCCCGA